GAGTGGTTGAGAGTCCGCCTGCCGATGCAGGGGACACGGGTTCGTGCCCCGGTCCGGGAGGATCCCACATGCCGCGGAGCGGCTGGGCCTGTGAGCCATGGCCGCTGAGCCTGCGCGTCCGGAGCCTGTGCTCCGCAACGGGAGAGGCCACAGCAGTGAGAGGCCTGCGTACCGCAAAAAAAAAAAAAAAAAGAGGCCATCTTGACTGCAGGGCTCCTGGTCAGCAGTATGGGGTGGGCTCCTTCTGAGGACCTCCTTTGGTTCTGCTGCGAGGCCAGGGAGCCTCCTGGCTGGCTGAGAGGGCCTGTACAGGCCAAGAGAAGGGGCCCGGCCTCTGTGGAGGAGGGGCACGGGTGGGACTGGGCAGCAGAAGGGACCAAAAGGACTCCAGAGCCCAAGGAAGAGCCAGGTGCAGCTCTGAGTGGAGTCACCTGGGACCTCTGGAGTTTGCAAGGGCCAAGGCTGGGGAAAAGGCCTGGCTTTAAGTGTGGCCAAGGCGGGGCCCCAGCAGGGGCTGAGCTGAGGAGGGAGGAGACAAAGGTACCGGAAACCTGAGGTCAGAGAGCAGAGGCCTGGGTGAGCACTCAGCTGGGGGCTAGATCTCAGGAGACCATCAGCCCACCCCACATCTTCCCTCCTAGGCAGTGACAGCCTGATCCCAGCCCTAGGCTCAGAAACGTGCCCTGTTTCCCCGCCCAGTCTCCTTGAAGTGCCTGCAACCAAGGCCCCCCAGCCCAAGGTGGATCTTCTTTGGCGCCCTGGAGATTTGATGGAGAAAGGTAAGGGCAGGGGGCTGGAGGGGCTGGGGGGCAGCCCGCGGGGGGCTGTGACGGCCCTCTCTCCCCTGCAGAGGACCTAGCAGGGCACCTGACCCGGGCCATAGAGGGTGGGGATGAGAAGCGGGCAGCCCACGCAGCAGCCATCCTGGCCCAGCATCACGTGGCCCTCAGCATCCAGCTCCAGGAGGCCTGCTTCCCTCCCGGCCCCATCAGGTAAGGCCTGGGGCTTCCATCTCACCCGCCCTCCCAGTCCTCTCAGGTCCCCGGTCTTTACCGCTGACCTACACTCTGGCCTAGGCTACAGGTTACAGTTGAAGATGCTGCGTCCTCTGCCCACATCTCGCTGGCAGTCCACCCCCACTCCACCATCGGGGCCCTCCAGGAGCAGGTGAGCACGGGGTCTGGGGAGCCCTGCTGGGGGGACCTGGGTGACATTCCGACACTCTGGCCCCAGGTATTCTCGGAGTTTGGCTTCCCACCGGCTGTGCAGCGCTGGGTCATCGGGAGGTGCCTGTGTGTCCCCGAATACAGCCTTGCTTTCTATGGGGTCCGGCGGGATGGGGATCCTGCTTTCCTCTACCTCCTCTCAGCCCCCCGAGAGGCCCCAGGTCAGTCCTTGATTGGAGTGGGATGAGGAAGGTGGGGTGCAGCCTGACATGGTCCTGAGCCTTATTCCCTCTATGGCAGGACGCAATCCTCAGCACCCCCAGAAGATGGATGGGGAGCTAGGCCGCCTGTTTCCTCAGTCACTGGGGCTGCCCCAAGCCCCTCAGCCAGCTGGCTCCAGCCTGCCCAACCCCCTTCAGGTGGGCAAGGGACTGGGCAGGGAGGGCCTAGGAGGCTGTGGGCATTGAAGGAATGGGTAAGCAGTAACTGTGTCCTCACCTCCCCAGCCCGGCTGGCCCTGCCCTTCCTGCACCTTCATCAATGCCCCAAGCCGACCCGGCTGTGAGATGTGCAGCACCCAGAGGCCCTGTGCTTGGGACCCCCTTCCCACAGCCTCCACCCAGCAGCTACCAAAGGTACCAGGGGCAGAGGCAGAGGCAGGGGAGGGGATGGGGGCAGGGGGGCAAAACAAGCAGAATGACCCATCTTCTGCCCCTGCCCGCAGGTCACAAGGAGAGAGGATGGCCCTTCCCTTCCAGGCCCAAGGTCCCTGGACCCCGTCCTGAACCTCTCAGGGAACCTCTGCTGACTGACCGCTCGCTGGAGACAAAACCGGGGTTGCCAGGGAGGGGCTGTGAGCTGGAGTCATTAAATACACTTGTGAGCCAGCTGGGTGCCCCTTTACTGTGCCCTTGTGCAGACTGGGCTGCTGGGAGAATGCAGAGCAGGGCGCAGTCCCACTCAGATGAAACTTGGCAGAGGCAGGGGTGGCGGCTCCCGAGCTGGGTCCAGGTGGCTACTGAAGAGCATACTTGGGACGCAAGTCCCCTGAAGTCTCCCAGGCCCCAAGGTTGCTTAGGACACCCCCCCCTGCCTGCTGACCACTGGGCTGGGCCCTCTGAGCCCCACCCAGCCCTCAGCTGACTGGCCCTCCTTTTCCAACCAGCGCTTTTCAGGCACACACCCTCCCTCTGCCTTTCTCCTCTCTGCTCTTGCCCTCCCCACGCTGGTCCCCACTCCTCTGGGCTAGTCCCACCAGGCTGCCCTTATATTCCCTGCTTGGGGACAAGAAAAGCTCAGAGGATAAGAGCCCCGAGCCAGGGCCCAGGGCTACTACTAAGAAAACACCGCCATGGCTCTCCTGCCACTGACAGGTCCATGGCTGTGTTAGCCCAGCCACTGTCTGGCCGTGTGGCCTGAACCCACTCCCAGCCGCCCTGTAGACTGCTAGGAGGTGCTGTCCCCTCACAAAGACCGTGACCCTTGAGTCAACAGCACTTCCAGCTGCCCAGCCAAGAGACCAGAAGCACCTCTGGGTGGCCTCCGCCTGCCTCTCTGCTTCCTTGGTGAGGTTGAGTGCTGCCCCTCCTCTCCCGGCCACCGCCCAGCCCTGCCTGCCCCTGAGCCCCAGGAACAGCTCCTGCAGCTCCTACTTTAGGCCAGCCTCTCCCTGGTTGAAATGCTATGCAGGGCTCCCCACCGCCTTCAGGATGAAGGCCAAGTGGTTCAATACACAGACACTGGTGGGTTACTGCAGCAGGGCCCTGGGTCCCTGGGCTGTGTCCAGGTAAGCGAAGCCCTTTCCACCTGGAACCAGGTTCTCTCCACTCCGGTCAGTGTTGCCGCTTTCTCTAACAGCTAGTTCTCTGCTTCCTGTCCCACGTTCGCTGCTGGCTGGACTCCCAGCATTCAGGGCAATGTTGACCGCACTGCACTGGACACCCCGGGAGCTCTGAGGGCAGGGATCTTCGTCCCAGAGTCCTCTGCAAACCTGTATTCCCATCACACAATAGCTCAAATGGGTATGTTGAGAAACTTAATTTATTTCCATGATGGGCGCTGAACGATCTGGAGCTGGAACCCCGTCTCCTGCCCCTTCCCCTCTGTCCCAGAGGAAGAGGGGCTTGGCCAGGAGGGCCAGCTGGGACCTGAACAGGCCCAGGGTGGCCCCTTGGCTTGAGGACCCATTCAGGCAGGACAGCAAGCAGACACTGGGCAGGGTCACTTGGATGGCCGATATGCCAGCTTCCGGCTCTTCAGGACTGACCACTTATGCCGCTTCATGGCATAGACCAGGGGCAAAAGCAAGCCCATCACCATCAACATCTGGGGGGAGGCAGGCTCAGAGGAGGGAGGCAGAAAGGAGCCCTGCCAAACTCCCAGCCCCTCCGCCCAGCCCTCTCACCTTGAGCCCCATGCGTTTGCGATGGTCGTGTTCTGGTTCAGATGTCCAGCGCAGGAAGGTACACACGTCCTTGGCTACCTGGGACATGGTAGCTGGGGTGCCTGGACCAAGGACAAGTGGTACGAGCTGCCCGTGGGTGTCCCTGCCCAATTTGGGGTAGCCCAAAGAGCATCCTCCACCATGGGGCAGAGACGGGTTCCTGCCCACAGCTTCAAAAGGGATGGGACCCACCCTACCACCAGCCAGCACACAGATGGCCTCAAGGCTGCCCATGAGCCTCCTCAGAAACACACAGTGTCCCAGCCAAGGAAGCTGCAGGCACTCTTGGGCCAAGAACACCAGGAGAGCATCCCTGGCAGTGGGGAAAGTAGGACCCAGCTTGCCCACCCCCAGCGTGGGGGCCTCTCACCGTCGTCAAACTCCAAGACTTCATTGTAGATGGGAGGCGCCATGCCAATGGCCTGGCCAGGAAAATACGGATTGAAGTAGAGGCCTTCTCGCAGCGACACCCCAGTGGGTGGCTCACAGTAGCCCGTGAGTAGGGAGAAGACGTAGTCCTCACCACCGTGCCTGGGACCAGATCGGGGTCTCCTCAGCCCCTGGCATGAGGCAGCCCTTCCTGCCGTCCCCCGCCACACACACACCCGGCCACCGCAGGCCAGTACCTAGCTCGCACGACGTAGCTGAGATCAGGGGGCAGTGCTCCGTTGTTGGCCGCTCGTGCAGCCTCAGGGTTGGGGTAGGGTTTGGGGAAGTAGTCAGACAGCTTCCCCGGCCGCATGAACATCTCCCCGTTCTCGTTGGGGCCGTCCTGAACCTCCACCTGCCACCAAGAGCCCCATCACAACCCTGCTGTCCAGCACAGCAGGAGCCCCGATCTGTGGGTCCTCGGCATCCCCACGTCCCCACCTCCTCAGCCAGCGCCTTAGCTTCATCCTCTGTGTAGCACACGCCCACCAGGTGGCGGTAAGCCACGTAGTCCATGCTGTGGCAGGAGGAGCACACCTGCTTGTACACCTGGAAACCCCTCCGGATGCTAGAGACATAGAAAGGGTTAAGGGCGCCGAGGATTCCACCCCACCCGGCCCACCCAGAAATTCCCCCAGCCAGCCACACACCTGGTGTGGTCCAGGGAGGAGAGGAGGCCGCGGTGGGACCACGGATAGCTGGGGGG